CAGGTACTTCAATGATACCACTTCTGGTCTCTTGCAAACCCACACTGAGACTCCCAATAAAATYCTTATCGAGTAACAGCTGAACTTAGACTGATAAAAAAACATGAGGAGAAACCGCACAACACAAAATGTTTAGTTTAGGAAAATCAAGTTCCTCAGGAAGCAGATCTAACACTTTGTCTCTGTTGTCAATAGATCAGACTCGYTGGGACGTCTTAGACTAGATTTACCTTGAAGGCGATGGTCTGGCCCACCTGTGGGGGTGCAGCTAACAGAGGCATTGAGCTGTAGTCCTTCTGAGGAGCATGTTCTGCTTCATTCTATAGAAACAAGTGCAATCACACAGTCCAGAAGTTAGTTCTGTTTCTGTCATACACCATCAAACAAGATGACAGTTTACAGCCATACTTCACTGACTCCTTTGTTAAAGGTGGATTTCCTGTATTTAACAGTGTGCAGTGACATACGAGTACATGAGTGACAGGCCAACCACAGCTGTGAAATAACTAGAGAAGTCCTGTTTGGTTTGGTTTACTGTCATTTCCAGCTGCAATAATCTGAGTTGAAGTACCAGTTGGTTTTTTACAACTTATGTAATAAAATAAAGAGAAATATGGCAGTTATGTCCTGTTGAATTAGATAGAAGCTGTGATACATTTGGATTTTTATAGAAAATGATTTTGATTTTAACATATTGTCTGCTAGGTTTAGAATCTTTTCTGATCTGTTATAAAGTGTGGATCAAAAAGGAAGTCTTATTTTTCTAAATTTGCATTMGTCTAAAACTTGAACCTTAAACATTGAGAATAACACGCACAATTCCATGTGATATTTCCATGTGTTGTAAACGACAGCATGATATCTGTGAAACTGAGTTAGAGACATTAATTATCTGCGGTGGCCATCTTGAATCATGTACTAATCTGTGAGCAGTGATTACGTTCTGTGGATTTTATTAAAATCTGTCCAGTTTGTTCATATTTTGCTAACATACAGACACAACATATAATCGTCTGCCTTTTAGTTTTTCAGTGACGGGTGATGAAACCAGGGTGGTCACAGTGATGGTGACCCCTGCAGACCCAGTTGTAGGTGGATACTGAATTAGGTCAGAAGATGTGGAGACAAATAGGGGTGCAACAATACACTCCTGATCAAAATCTTAAGACCAGTCAAATAAGTGCAAGAATTTGCATTTTGCACTATTGGATCTTAAGAAGGTTCTAAGTAGAGCTTCACAAAATCAAAAGTTTAAGACCATAATCTTTAAAAGCCAAAATCTGTGCAAAAATCTGGATTCCATGTCATTTTCTGTCAAGTCTTT